TCAATTGGTATACCATCTATTCCGGGGGCCTTATTTTTTGCTATTTCCTTCAAAGCAGCTTGAACTTCTGCCTTCATCACCATAGGCTCTGGCTCAAATGCTGTTTCATTAAATTCTTTTATATCTGCCAATTCCTTTCGGTACAATGACTCAGTATATTCCTTCCATCTTCTTTTGATACCTCCTGGATCATCAAACATTCTGCCTAAACATCCTTGATTGTAGCAACTCGATGTTTGAATTTACTCTTCAGTTTCTTGAGCTTAAGAAATGCTGAACGAGTTCGGCCCTTTTGATCTTCCGACTCTAGCTCCTTGCACATTTCATTGTAGTATTTTGCTTTGTCATTCCGTGCTGCCTTTTGGAATCTCCTGTTCAGCTCTTTAGTGTCTTGGATTCTTCCTTGTGCTTTGGCTTCTCTACGTTCCAGTGCAATCCCATATTTCTCAGTTTCCCCGTAACACTGATGTCAGTCTTGTCCTACAACAGTGGGCTATGCCATATTTGTCCTTTTGTGACTGAGATATTTCACTCAGCATAATGTTCTCCTGGGTCACCCATTTTGAATATTATATGATGACTTCCTTGTTTTTCAATTGTGTGAATATACCACAGCTTCTCTATCCGTTTGTTGATGGGCACTGTGAACAAAGCCATGATAAACATGTGTGTACATATACCTGCTTAGGTGGCAGTTATGGTCCTTTTGGGGTATATTCCCAGTAGTGGAATTGCTGAGTCCAATGGTATCTCTGTTTGCAACTTTTTTTTTTTACCTCGAAGTCCTGCCCTATACTTGCACTTTGGTCGCTATGAGCTGGGACTATCCAGGGAGGAGGGGTGTGAGGCCACAGAGCTCCAGGCCCGTGCAGGGGCCTGGTTTCTCCTATCCACCATGTTCCAGTGGTGCTCTTCGCTGGCTGTGTGCAGCCCCCATTCCAGGGTTGGGTCCCTCACTTTAGGGCATTGAAGGGCAAGGCCTGTTGGTTCATGGGATTGTCAGGAGACCGCATCCATTCCTTCTTGAACAGCTGCTTCAGCTGTGACAGCTTCATGTTGGGGTTCTCTAGCTTGAGTCTCGGGAGATGTGAAGGCTTCCACTCGGGATGCCGGTCAGCTGCCTCCTCCACCACGCTGAGCATGGCGATGGCGTTCTCTATGGTGCGCGCCTCCACGCTGCTGTCCTCCAGCACGCGACAGTTCACGTTCTCCTCCAGTGGCACATCCAGGTGGCTCCGGGCCTTCTCGGCTGGCTCTAGAGCCTCCCAGTGCTGGAGGTCTGAGCGTTGGGTCTCCTCGATCTGGGCCCGAGGGGCCTTGCCACCCTTGAGCTTTGAGTCCTATCATGTTAGGTTTTTGGTAATCAGTTGTAATTTTTGAAGATCCATCAATTTTATGCACAAGTTATATAAACAAGTTCAATGAAGATGTGGTAGTAATCCACATCCCTGCATCCTTCAAGTCCTTGTTTGTGACACTGATCTCTGCAATTTCTGCAGGGAAACAAGATTAGTTTTGGTTTACTATTTTTTTTACGTAGCTACAGATCTAATGGCTTCCACTTGGCTTTTTTTTTTACCTTATTAGCTCTTACTCCACACTTCAGAGGCAAAAATGAGAGTTCTGCCAGTTGCTGAGTAGGTCTACTCGAATGATGCATTCTGGAATGCGAGAAATCACTACAAGATGAACTTGAGAACCACTGAGCCACTGTGAGATGGAACCGAGCTACCATTCTATCAATAGCCTGACTTCCATATACTCCCACTTGATTGGTGGCCACAATGATATTTTGAGTTTCCTGAAATTAGTATCTGATCAGAGCCAATATCTAGTAATTCTCTGTCTAATTCTTTCCTTTTCTCAAAGGCTAGTCGTTCTTACGAAAGAGTGATTTCACAAGCACTCTCATTTGGGAGAACTGGGGTGAAAAGTAATAGTATACATTTTTGGCAGTATATTGGGAACATTCCTCAAAAGGAAACCATTATTGTAGAATGAGTATGAAGATCCAAGTGGGGGGTGGGAGGGTGGAAACAGAGTGAGGAGGATGTGCAGGGGAGGGAAGGATCGATCATGGGGTTGTAGAATTTGATGGAAAGGTGAGGGACATTAGAAGAATCTGGTCTGGAAAACAATGTACTTGGACTTTGTAAATAAACTAGTATAATTGTTGTTGTTGTTGTTAAGTGCCATCGAGTCGTAGATGAATTATAACAACCCTATGACGAAAGTCCTGAAAACGCCTAATTTTCATTGATTTTCTGAATTCGTAGAGTTTCCAGAAGCAAGCTACTTCAGAAGTGGATGCCACTCCTGCTTCTAAGCTTGTTTTAACTTGAAGCTCCATCAAACACTGTCCACCATGGGTAACCATAATCACATTTGACTCGTTGATGTCACAGTGTTTATCCTCACAGCAATCACAAGTTACCTCTGTATATAGCAAATAGACCAGTGCAATACTACTTAGAAAAATGTTTGACTGAAAACAATTAAAAACAGTCGTCTAAGGGCCCAAATGCCTTTTTTAGATATGAGGCCAAATCCAGCTCACACCCAGTTGTGAACAACAGAACACATGCAAGACTCAATCAAAGCAGTAAACACACGTTTGTAGAATCCAGATGCTCCACTCATTCCCAAACTTTAAAGGAGCCCAAAACTGGCAACCAAATGCCTTTTAAAAATTATTTTAAAGATATTTTAATGAAAGTTTGCAGAGAACTTGGATTTCCATTCATTCATTATTGCACATTCTCCCTATCAGCTCCTCCCCACCCCCAGTTTGTTTTTCTTTTGGAGAAAAAAATCTTTCATTGTTATACAATCCTCCCACACCCTAGTCCACTTTACTATGCAGCTCTTATTCTAAACAGTTGTCATGCAAATAATGACTAATCATATATTCCTTTTAAGCATTTCTTTTCCTCATCTGTTTCAATGCAGTGTACTTTATTTATCCCAACTTTTCTTGGTTACCCCCCAACCCAGATGTCAGTCCTATTTTACAACAGTGGAATTATGCAGTATTTGTCCTTCCATGACTGAGATATTTCAGTCAGAATAATGTGCTCCAGGATTACCCATTTTGTATAACAGTTCATGAGTTCCTTGTTTTTTAGCACTTCATATCATTCCATTGTGTGGCTATACCACAGCTGCTTGGGTTATGTCCATCTCTTTGCTATTGTGAACTATGCAGCAATAAACATAGGTGTGCATATATCTGTTTGGATGACATAAGGTTTTCACTATGTACAACTGGGAATATACCCTAAAGAAATAAGAACTGGTATCCAAACAGATATGCACAACTATGTTTATTGCTGCATAGTTCACAATAGCAAAGAGATGGACATAACCCAAGCAGCTGTGGTATATTCACACAATGGAATAATATGAAGTGCTGAAAAACAAGGAACTCATGAACTGTTATACAAAAGAAAGAGGAACAGTTGTAAGCAGACACTAGTGATAAGGACATGGAATGTGAGAACCATGAAGGTAGAAAGATTAGATATTGTTAAGAAAGAAATGGAATGCATAAATATTGACATATTAGGCATTGGTGAGATGAGATGGACTGGCGTGGGGCATTTTGAGTCAGATGATCATATGATACATTTACTCTGGAAATGAAAAGGTAAGGAAAACTGGAGTTGCTTTCAAAATTAAGAAATTCATTTCTAGATCCACCTTGAAGTAAAATATTGTGAGTGACAGGATAATATCCATACGCATACAAGGAAGGCCAGTGAATACAACTATCAATCAGATATATGCACCAACAACCAGAGCCAAGGAAGAGGAGGTAGAAGACTTTTACCAACTTTTGTAGTCGGAGATCGATCGAATATGCAATCAAGATGTATTGATAATAATGGGTGACAGGAATGCAAAAGTTGGGAACAGAGAAGAAGATTCAGTACTTGGAACACATGGACTTGGTGACAGAAATGGAGCTGGAGAGAGAATGATTGAATGTTGCACAATCAATGACTTATTCATTGCAAATACGTTTTTTAAGAGACATAAATGCAGGTTATACACATGGATTTCACCTGATGGTATGCATAGGAATCAGATTGATTACATCTGCGGAAAGAACCGCTGTAGAAGCTCAATATCAGCTGTGAAAACTAGGCCAGAAGCTGATTGTGGAACTATTCATATGCAAGTTCAAGCTGAAATGGAGGAAAATGAAACCTAGTCCACGGGAACCAAAATGTGACTTTGAGCCTATCCCACTTGAATTTCAGAACCATATGAGGAACAGGATTGAGGCCGTGAACACTAATGAGCGAAGACCAGATGAGTTGTGGAAGGATATCAAGGGTATCATTCAAGAAGAGTGCAAACGT